GGAACCGGGGCCATCAAACCAGTCTTTGATTCATGTGTTATCCCTCAAAGGATATCTAAATCAGAAGCTGGATGAAACCTGATTGTTGACATTTGCAAAATGCCCTCAGTGTGGAATGCACACAGTCACAGTAAATGACTGAAAAAAATGAAGAGAGAATAGCTGTACCTGCACATCATGTGCCTCTTTTTATCCTTGTGTCACACAGTGACAATCAATAGCTTGAGTTCAGTGGAGCAGAAGGCGACTTTGCAGAAGCAGCAGTACTTTTCCTTGTGATTCCCAGTGAGCGCAGAGTTGGGGGACCCTCCTTTGCGTTGTTGTGACCCTCAGCCTGCTTCCGGTGCAGCGTGTCTCACCTTTTCCTACGACTGCCGGTAACTTGGCTACTTTCTAAGTAAGGCGGGGACTGTCTCATTCATTGTTGTGATACTAGAGCCCAGGGGTGGACGATGAAGGATGGTGAGCAGCAGAGGTGCTGAGCAGTGTGGTAGGAAATGAGTGGCCATTGGGGCTCAACCAATTAATATCAAGCAGTGCACGAAGTCCCAGTGAGGCGAGGGAGCTGTGCGAAGGTGGAAAGCAATCTGTGGAGCAAAAAGGCTGCCGATCGGTACAACTGTCGACTTGCGTGAGTTTGATTTAGTGAAGAGAGCTCATATGGTAGCATGCCTTTGTCCAAGATTATGCAAGATGTATTTGTTCAACTCCCAACAATTTAGAAAGTCATGTTTGGTTCATATAAAGTAGATGAGCAATTAAAAGAAAGATATCTAATTTGAAACTTGTTATATACTTGATTTCAAACATATAAACTCCTTGCTTGTAGCAATGGTTCTGAAACTTGATTATCTATCAGAATTATCTGGAAAGCTTAAAAAATTCCCTGATGCATAGACGGTGCCTTAGACTCTTTGTGATGGAAGTGAGGCATTAGGAGCTTGTAAGCTCCCCAGCTGAGCCCAGCGTACATCCTGTGGCCTCTTACCTTGGCCACATCACGTACGAGAAAACTGGACACTACAAATTGCAAGAAGAAATTGACCCCCACATAGCAAGACTTCGGTTTGGTACTTTAAAAATGGATACATTGAGAAAGTATTTTCAATTAATAATCTAAAAACCCATGCATACTAAAAATTAAGGGAAATGCTCTGCAGATCAATTTTATGGTTTTGAATTCATTGTTAAGAAAAACCATTCTTTTCCTCCTTACTTAACTGGATTTTGTGCTCTTATTGAGCTGTTCTGTGCTTAAGAAAGCAGAGGTGTTCACAGCAGGTCTAGAGGTGGGTGTGTCACACCCCGCCCTGGAAGCCACGTCCCTGATGCCACAGGTGCGGCAGGCCAAATCTTTTAATACCACTTCCACCCCTGGGAATTAAATTCATTCTCGGTGAAAAAGGGATTCATAAATCCTGGCCCTGCCTTCCGAACAGCAGTGTGGTTCTGCCAGGGTGATAAATTGCTCCTATCAAAACAGACATTGAGCCTCCCAGGGAAATAATGGGCTCCAGAGTACATAGTGTAATGTCCTAAGTGCGTGGGACTGGGGACCAGGGGAGAAAAGTCAAGTGTTGGGAAATCAGTGACTTTTGCTTGAAACTCGTCCAGCTTGTCTTAAGTCATAAGAGGTATGGCAGAGCAGATGAACAGGACATGTGAGCAGATGAAGAAAATCCATCATAAAACCCTCCTGCAGGGCACACTGGCAGGAGCGCATGGGGCGGGGCGGGGGTGGGGAGGCTGGTGGCAAGGTGCAGGCGGGTGGGGACATCAGCTGTCGGGGAGGCCAGAGGTGCTCCCTGCCTGCCTTGAGAACACTCCCTGCCCACCCCTGACGGCCTACAGTTCTCATGCCTGTGTGTGAAGTGGTGAGTGGACATGCTACTGGGCAGAAGGCTGTGACGGCACCACCAGTGACCCACCATGTATTTTAAATCATGTCCTCCAGAGAACCAGCGGGTCTCATGAACTGACCTAGAGATAAATGGAAGAAAGGCTTTCAGTTCTGGTCACTTCTTTCCCAATTTCCTTACACATTATCCTGCCTAGGCCCTTGACCTTGTCAAAAAAAACTCCGAAAAACAAGACAACAACAAAACCAAAGCAAACCCTCCCCAACGGCAGCCTCTGTCCCACGCGACGCACACGTTCAGTTCTACGGCCGTCTCTTGGACTCATCCTTCGGCCTCCTCCGACTGTGACTCTCCAGGAAGCCTTTCTTGTTGCGCCCAGGACACTGACCTCAGCTTTCCTGGCCTTTACCAGCCTCTCGCCCTGATGGCAGCAGAGAGCCATCACCGTTGTGGCAGGGACTCGGGCACTCGGACTTGACTTCAGCCATTTGCGTTTTCCTGCTACCTGAGCCCTGGGCCTTGGTCGGGATGGAAGGAGAGGGCTCAGCCTGGTGCTCAGAGACCTCAGTGGCTGTGCCTCAGGCGCACCTCCACGTGCACCCAGAGGCCACAGGGGACCTGGGTTCCAGTGCTTCTTCCCTGTAGGGCAGGGCCAGCACAGCTGTCCTTTCCTGGGCCCAGGTTCCTCACCGTCTAGTGACCAGGTTGGAGTAGACAACACTGGAAGTTTCTTCTGGTTCTGGGATTCTATGAACTATAGAAATCTAAAACATGAACATTTCTCAGAAATATCATTTATCTCTTAATTACTCAAATAAAACACTTTCCTTATAGAAAAGAAAGAAAATCAAGTCATGGCAATTCTAGCACTCAGGGATAATCCCTGGTACCATTAGGTCGGATGATCAGTGTTCGATGAGGCATAGATCCCTCCGGCAGGTTGAGAACAGGTTTGTGTTCTCACTGATTCCCACAGGTCAGGCTTTTTATTCAATTGGTACATTTTCCTCATCAACATGATTTTTGTGGTTTAAAATCATGACTACTATTATTAATACTGAGTGGCATTAATCAAGTATTTACAAATCCCCCGGCACTGTTCCAGGCACTTTAGATCCCTGAGGCCAGATGAGGTAGGTACTGTTATTCCCTTCAATGGGGGAGGAACCCAGGCGGACTGTGCTTAAATAACTGGCTGAAGGTAAGGTCACACCCTTGTAAGGGGCTGTTCCTGCTGGGGAAGCCAGGTGCCCAGGGACCCCACAGCAGTACAGACAACATGCTGATTAAAATCCTGACAGCTGAAAATTCACACATGCTCCTTGTCATTTCCTTGAGATAAATCCTTAGCAGCAGAATCAAAAAGCCAAAGTCACATTAGTTTTTGCATACAGGCTGCTAAATCGCTCTTCTTCCCACAAGCAGTTGGTACATGTAGTGCCCTAAGTCCAGGAGCAGGCAGACCAGAGGAAGCCTGCCATGCCCAGGAAGGGAACAGACCAGACACACCAAGGAGACCAGCAGCGGAGCAGGAAGGGGTTGTCCTCGCCAACCTAGCAGCTCTGTGGGTTTGCAGGGTCCCTCAGGCTCTTGATTTGCAGCAGGCTGGATGACTGTCAGCTTTGGACTGTACCTGGCTATGTCATCTAAAGTCACTGATATAAAAAAATGGTAGCTTTCCATTTCTCTTGAATTAAAAAAACAAAAACCTCACCTTTATTGTCTTTTTGTGCTAAACCAAACCTGAGGTGTATGCGCTTTTCCCAGGTAAAAATGTGAGATGAAATTCCAGAGCCATCAAACGAGACCTTTATTCTCCCACCTGCACATTATGACTCTAATAAACACGTTATCAGCTCATGAAAATGATGGCAAACAGGTGACGGAAGGATTTGATAAGTCAGCAGCAAAGATTAACAGTTCTTTTCAGAGAAGGCTGTGAGAGGTTCCCCCATTTAAAACAATTGTGGCATGTGAATTTACAGCACTTAAATCATTATCGGCAATTAGTCCTTGTCAAAAAGGTTGCAGCTGGCTTCAATTACAGGTAAGATTTTTATAATTCGAACTTAGTAGTACGTCTGATAAGTAGGAATTGGAGGAACACCCTTGGGGAGATTTGCAATTTGAGAAAAACTTCAAGGCATTTCAAAATTCAAAAATTCATTACTTGCAGCAATGCTTTATTATTGACATCTATTATTAAGCTTCTAGAAAAATTTCCATAAACTTCATCTTTCTGTTGTTTTCTTCCCTAACAGAAAAATTGCTGCTGATTAAAAGAATCGTTCTTTTAATTATGAAAGCACCTCATACACATTATTTAAAAAGCCCAAGCAACAAAGAATACAAAACAAAAATAAGTCTCTTTCTACACATATTCACTTTTGCTTTTAATTCTTGAAGTTACCACCATGACTTCCTCTCAGGTTGTTTTTACCTGATGGTCTTTATCTACCGACTTTGGACGTGTACCAGCATTTCACTAGGCAGGAAAAAGAATTCAGAGCCTTTACAAGCCTTCCACCTCTCCTTCACTTGTTGATTATTGCTGATTTTATATATATATATAAAATATATATATATATATATGTGTATATATATATATACATATATATATATACATATATATATTATATTTTATATATATATATATAAAATACATGCTATATATTATATATATTAAGTTTACTTGCAGCTTCAAAACTTGAATTATCTATTATCTCATCACTTTCTTTTTTTTTTCTAAAAGACAGCCTGTGTATAGAAGTATGTTGTTAACTCGTTTTTTTTTTTTTTTAAGAGAGAGAGAGAGAGAGAATATTTTTTAATATTTATTTTCTAGTCCTCGGTGGACACAACATCTTTGTTTGTATGTGGTGCTGAGGATGGAACCTGGGCCACACGCATGCTAGGCCAGCGCGCTACCGCTTGAGCCACATCCCCAGCCCCTCATCTCTTTCTTGATCTACCAATTTTAGACTTTCACCATCCCACTAGGTGCATGGTGTTGTCTTATCCTTATTTTTATTTAAATTTGTGAACCCCTAATGACATATACTTTTTTTTTTTTAATGGGCATATTTGCCATCTGTGTATCTTCCTTGGTGAAGTGTCTGTTCAGATTTTTTTTTGGGGGGGTCTATTCTTTAATCAGATTTGTTTCCTTATAGAATCTTAAAAGTCCTTTGTTCAGATTGAATAATAATCTTTATCAGATTTTTTTTTTTTTTTTGCAAATATTTTCTGCAAGACTGTGGCTTGTCTTCTCAATCTCTTGACAGTATCTGTTGCAGGGCAGAAGGTTTTGAATCTTACTGAAGTCCAGCTCTTTCATGAATCGTGCCTTTAGTGGAGCTCCATAGTAGACCTTTTCTGTTGGCTCTGCACTGAGGAAGGTGAGAAGATTAGCACCTTATAAATCCTACCTTCCTTTCCTTTTTGGTCAGCTAAACTATTATTTTTACATCATCAGGATTTAAAATATTTGTGTGAATTTTATTTACTTTTGAGTAACTATAGTTAGGTTTTCAATACTTCTAAGAATCAATTCTATGAATAAAACCCATCTATGTGGTTATGGTTATTCCATATTTTCACTGTGAAACCAGTGAAAGTACTTCTTCGGAACCAGTGCCATTTGAAGGATGACCTTCCAAAGGTCAAGGTTCAATTTATCTCACTTTTCCTAAACTCCACCTCCTGCTCAGAATCAGGTCGCCTTTCATTATGTCTCATGTCTGCTCTGTGCGTGTGTTGGCTGTCTTCTCCTTCCTCCTACCCGGTGGGGTTTCTTGTTCCCCTCCCTTTCCTTTTCTGTCACCACCCAGGAAGGGACACATGCATCCTCCAGGTCTTCCAGCTTCCTTGCACACCAGGTACAGTGGGTTGGTTCTATCCTGCAGCGTCTTCTCCAGGCCTCGGCTTCCTCTTTGCACGGCCCGTTGCTGCCCAGGCTCGGGGCAGCTGCCCACCTTTCTCACGGGTCTCTCTGCTCCCTGTGGGTTAGGCTTCACTACAACTCTTTCCTTTTTCCAGGTGTAACCCCTGCCACAGTGTCTTCACCTGTAACATCAGGACAATAATGATGCCATGAGGTGGACGTGAGGACCAGAGTTGACACAGTAATGACGTATCAGTGATGACTTGGTGCCTTTGACCTTTGACCTTTGGCCTGTCTCCTTTGCTCCCTCTCTGGTCTCCTGGAATGCTGGAATCCGGTCCCTACCGTTTTTTGGTCTGTGTGGCCTTGACGTTGCTGCGTATCATGTCTCCTCATCAGAGTGACCTTGAATCTGACCTGTGGCTCTCTTGCTCCAAGGACCTCTGTGTGCCACTGTCTCGTCTGTCCAACCTCTTCCCAGAGCAGCCTCAGCACGTGCTGGAGCAGCCATGCAAAGGAGGCTGGAGTTGATGGAGCTCCCACCAAGTGGCCAGGGCTTTTGATTCTCATGTCCTTGCATTTTATTCACTGCTGATCCCAGAGCCCAGAATGGTGCCCAGCACGTAGCTGGTGTCCAACAAGTATTTGCCAGATGCACAATGAGTGAGTGAGAACAATGAAAGACGCGTCCCCAAACCGTTAAAGGTGAGTCCTCCAGCCCACCTTGGGCTCTGGATTCTTCCGTGGGTCCTTCCTGGGTGACTCTGCTGCTTCGGTTGTCTCCCCTCCTCCTGCACATCGGTTCTGCCCCTCATGCCAAATCTGCCTCCGCCTTCTCCCCATTTCCTGTTCCGGCCACAGTTCCCCTAACACTGTCCTGGCTGGTGCTCTCTCCCATTCCTGTCCCTGGGAAGAGGGCTGCCCTGATGCTGTTCACTTCCTGGACCCCGGGCTCTGTGACCATGACAGTCTGCAGCAGAGGACCTTAGAGGTGTTATAAAGACAGTGGTGGCTGGAAATTTACCAAATAAAGGTGGGAAAAGACATAATTGGAAGAATTTGGTAAATAAATTAACTGTTTCATAGAAATCTACATTTTTCCCAAGAATTTTTACAAATATACAAGCAAACCTTTAATTGTTGCCATCAAACTAATGAAGCCCACACCATGCTGTATCACTTTGCTTTACGAAAGACCCAGGAATAATTTCTTAAGCCTTTTGATCTGCCCCCCACCAACTCCATTTCCTATCTTACCCCACCAACCCCTTTCTCCCTCCTCCTTCCTCCTCCCTCCCTCCTTCTTCTTTCCCCCTCTCTCCTGTCTTTCCTTCCATATATATTTGAGTCCCTACTCCATGCCAGGCTATGATTTGGGGACCACAAAACAAGAACGGTTGGTTTTGCGCTTTCTGGCAGCCTGGTCCGTGGGAACGATTTTGGAAGACCTGAGTTTTCCCAACTCCATCCTGGAAACCTCTGTTCCAGCTTCCCGCTCTGGGGCATCCAGGTGTCTCTCCAGTAGCAGGGGTTTCCCAGCCACTGTGATGGTGAAATACAGCCGCTCTGCTTCACAGCGGGGATGTGTGCTGAGACCTGCGTCACGAGGTGGTCCATCACGGTGAGAATGTCACAGAGGGCGGCTCAGAGAGCCGCAAAGGCACCAGGTAGTCTGATCCTGTGGGCCCCATGGTTTGGGCAGTCTGATGTTGACCAAAGTGTCCTTAGGCAGTGCCTGACTATGGCACTTCACGTGGATTTAAGGAGCATTAGGTAGTACTTACAAGTGTGTTGAGCAAGCACAGAATCAATGAACCAAATGCGAATTTAGATTCAAACACATTTTCCCGAGTTTCAGTGATTTCTAGCGTGTTGCCTGGCAAGGGGAAACGGCTGCTATGAAATGTTACCAACTGCATATATTTCCTCATATTAAAAAATCTCATTATGGAAAAGTCATACTTTAGCATTATCCTCTAGCAGGGAATCGCAGAAGGCACGCAGGCGCAGTAGTGGAGCAGGGGTTAATGCAAAATGAAACACAGAGAGTAATTAATCTTTTGTTTACTTGAAACTTTCACATCCAAATGTTTAATTTCACATCCACACTCCTGCTCTTTTGTGCACTGGATGGTACTGTATTCTAATTACTCAGCCTAAAGCCACTTTTGAAAACTGCTTCCCCCCTCTCTCTCCTAAACAGTGCTCAGGAAAACCCAGCACAACCCTTATTTCCACTGATCTTGACCTTGCCATTGCGGGATTGTGCCTGTCTTATCCCTCGCTCCCTTTCAACCTCTCTGTGTCCACTCGGGAGTCCTGCTGGTGATGATTCGCTTTTGTAACAAATTTCTTTATGCCAGATTTTTAAAATAATAATAAGAGTGATCTCTGAAGCGCACCCCCGGGGAGCAGCGTCAGACCACACGGCTTGTGATTACAAAGGAATATCTGAAGCTTTCCCTTTGCGTCCAGGCGTTTCCAGTAGATTTCTTTTTGGCCATGTTGCTTTAATTAAGTTTGGCCACTCTAGGAAATGGACAACCCTGCATTAATATTCTAGGGAAAGAAATGAAATTCTCCAGACGCACGGCTGCCTGCCCAAGTGCGCACCCCGCAGAGGAAGGGACAGTAGCTTCCTTAGCTTTGAGTTTGCGGGATTTGGCACACATTTGTGGCTCTGTTGTGAACTGGAAAAGGAAAAGAAGAAATGATAAAAGAATGGACGAGTGAACACAGGTGTGCAATCAACTCTGCAGCCTCAGCTCCACAGCCCGAGAGGAGTCTTCCTGACCGCCCCAACTCTCCCCCCCACGTTTGGTTAGGATTGTATCCCAATCTGACCTTCCTTCCTTCCCCACCTGCCCTTCCTTCTCCCTCCCTCCCTCCCTTCTCTCCTTTCTTTGCACGAGGATGTCTTGGGCCATTTGCTCACATACACTGAGTTATCAGCTTTATATCTCCATTCAGAGTCCTGTTGATATGTACAATGAAAGTGTATTAGCAGTGGTGACACAGGGCACTGCTTTCTCTGTTCCGCTCTGTTCACTGCTGAGCTCCTATGGTCTCCCCAGTCAGGGCCAGCTTGTTCAGTAGGCACGGCAGGCACAAACACACACACACACACACACACACACACACACACACACACACAGACCTGTGATACTTTTAGGGGTCTAGGAAGTGTCATCATTTTCCTTTTTGTTTTGTTTTTCAATTGGAAGAAAACAAGGAGGCTTTAGGTTGGAGAAAATGTCTCAATAAATAACATTAGTATTTTCTAGCAACATGCATTTAAAGTATGATTTTTCTGTTGTTTTACGGAGGAAGGGCCTTTGGAAGAAAGACGCCTGAGTCCATGAGAAGTGTGCCTCACTTTAGATACAGCTTGTGGCTCTTGAGCCTGGTGGAATATTCAAGTCACTGGGGCATGTTTTGAAAAAGTGCCAGGCCCACATCGATGTGAATTAAGACCTGGGGGTGGGGCTCCGGCCCCAGTGATTTAAAAGCTCCTGGTGGTTGGAATGGGCATCCTGGGCTGGGAACTGCTGGGGTGCTTCTCAGCCTCTGTGTGCCCCCGTCACTGGGGATTTTGTTGACAGGCAGATGCTGATTGGGTAGGCTTGTGGGGAGGGGTTGGGACCCTTATCTCTAATCAGCTCCTCTGGGATGGGGACAGCCTTCTGTAGCAGACTCTGGGTGGGGGTGGGCTGGACTGGCAGAGTCTCCACCTGAGCTCTGGGGTCTGGAGGACCCTGGCAGCTGCTGTTTATTGGGTACCAACTGCTAGCTAGGTGCTCCTGTGCTTCTTGTCTTCAATGTCACAACCACTTTGTGAGGAAAGTAGCCTTGTTCCTCTTTTACAGATGAAAACACTGAGGGTTGGAGAAGTTAAGATTGGAGCCCAGGATCCTCGGACAATGAATGGTGGTGCTGAGATTCGAGCCAGCTCCAAGAAACCCCGAGAGTCCACAGTCACCCAAGCCCCACCCTCCAGCAGCTCCTCGAAGATGGGGACCCTTCAGTGCCCAGGGCCCACAAACCAGGGCTCCTATGCTCCTGCCTGTGGGTTCAAAGAAAATAACCCCAGCCTAAAATAGGTGAAAACATAAAAGCAAAAGGCACCCAGTTAATGATGCAGGTTAACCATGCATCTGTAAGGCAAAAGCAAATCCAAAATGTTACAAAGTCCAAAGCTCTTTAAGTGCTGACCAGATGCCACAGGTTCAGAGGCCACACCTTGAAAGTCCCAGTCATCCACAAAATTATTAACAACCATGTATAAAATCACCTTTGGTCCACGTGTATGAGGCATCCAACAAAACACAAATAAATTTCATGTTTGAACTTGGGTCTCATTCTCAAAATATCTCATCTGGGTCCCAAAACTTAAAAATCATCTGAAATTGTAGATTTTTGGTCTCAAGCAACTTGGATAATGGAGATAACCTGTGATACGTTGACGGTTCCCAGCTCCGTGCTCTGGCGTGTTCTGATGCTCCTTTAATGGTCCTGACGCTGCTCCCAGACCTCCCCTTGTATCAGCCAAGAGCTGGGGCCGGTCTGGGTGCTGGTGTTCAGGGCCCTCCGCGCTCTGGATTTGCCCTCCACTGGCGCTTCCCCGCACCCGTCTGATCCACCAACAGATGTTCACCGAGTGGCCCGTGAAGTAGGGTCCTCTCCCACATGCTGGAGTCCTTGTGTTGTTGAGGGGCCAGCAAAGCCCCAGACAGTTTTGCTCATTCTAGGTGAATCACCATGTGTTTCTATGTGAGTTTTAACTTTCTTGTCATAATTTCAGCAAAATGACAAGTCATTTTGCCATGTTTAAGATTTCCACAAAATTTGTGTTTGAGGAACAGTGTAGAGCTGAAAGATTAAGAAATCAAATGCAACTTTATTCAATAAATGCAACATTTAAATATATTTTCACTCAAGTAGAAATTTAAAAAATTCTAAATTTAAGATATTAAAGTTATTTTTCATTTTAAAAGTGATTTTCTTCCAAATCATTTAAAATCAGTCCAAAATAAAAATACACATTGTAATTAATACATTTCAACAATTAACATCAAAATATTTAATATCACTAAAATTTTCATTTTTAAAAAAATCAGTGACGTCAGTACAGTTTTAACAGAAACTCTTGGCAATTCTGACACTCAGCAGTCACTTGGTTGCCCACGGAAAGGAATGGGTGTCAGGTTTTGTGCTTGTGATATGTCTGTATCTGAGTCTACCAACGTGAGAGTGTTGCCAATCCACACAGAGGATTCCTGTCACCATGAGCAACTGTGGCAGAAGCAGTGCTGATCTCGGTGGGCCTCGCGCCTCTGGACCAGGAGGGGACTTGGGAAAGGCCGCTGGTCTGAGGAGCCCCCTGTGGCCCTCCCTCTGGGAGCAAGGGTTAGACAGGAGCACTGCCCCTCTGCCCCCTTACCATTGGCCCCAAGGCTCCATCCTTCCCTGCACTCCAAAGCAGGGTCCTTGCCCAGCTCTCAGACCTTCCTGGCCTTGGGAACTGTCATCTTTCATCTTGAGATGTAAGCCAGACACCGGGAGGGGTTGTCCCCGACCAGCAAGGTTCTAGTCCTGAGAGCAGATGCCTAAGGAGGATCCTGCTCCTCCCTTGTCTGTCCCAAGGAAAGTTCTGCCCAGGGCTTGGAACAGTGTCTGGCACATGGTAAGGCCTAAATAAAACCTGCTCTTACAGGTGTGACTCTGGAAAGCTGTCCGGGCGCCGTTGTTGGTGGGTGACCCCAGGCGCAGGCCTCTCCAGGTGCGTCTTCTTGGGCGGCCGCTTTCCGCCCCTTGGGGCCCCAGGTTATGCTGTTCTGCCTTCTGCAACCCCTCTGGTCTTTGGGAACCTGGGGGTTGTCAGAGGCCTGTCTCCTCCAGGCAGCTTTTCAGGTGTGTGCAGTGGCTCTGGAAGGCTGCCCAGGCCCACCTCCTGGACGCCACAATCCAGTGGCCCTGCTCCAGCGGCTTGCTGGGCGCCTCCTGGAGGTCGCCCAGGTTCTCCCACTCTCAGACGCCCTGGAGAGGCCTCCCATCTCTGCGTCAGGCTGCATCTGCACTCTGAGGCTTCCTCTTGTTCCGTCTGGAGAATCTTTGGCCCCGCCTGCTTCGGTGGGTCTCTCTCAGACTCTTCTTTCTTTCATAAAATCTAAAAGTGCATTTAAAAAAACCCAAGAATTAGCTCTTTTCTTCCGCCTGCATTACTGAGGAAACATTCCTCCTTCAAGGCCACTGCTGCCTCCATATCTGGCTGCTTGTATGGGACAGGGGACCTGAGGAAGGTAGGGAAAGTCACATTGGCCAGACAGGGGGAGGGTGCAGAGAAAAGGCACCGCGCTACTGGCATCTGGAACCTGACTTGGGACTTCCGTTGTGGCCCGTGAGCCAATGGAACCCTCTTACACCAAGAATGCACTCTCCCTGCTCAGGCCAGACCAAATCGCTTACGGTGTCGGAATGGGATGCCAACCCCCGTCCATCCCTACCATGTGCACAGACCTGGACACGTGAGCCCGGCCCTGCCCTCAGCAAGCTCACCCTCTGCAGTGTTTCAGAAACTCCTTTAGGAAATTAGCAGCTCGTTTTAGAGGAAAACAGGATTACAGTTAGCAGGTGTCCTGTTAAGTGAGCTCAGCATCCACACAACCAGGGATGGACCCTTCTTTGCTTGTAGTTTTCTGAATCCACAAAACAAATGGTTTTGCTAAGAGGTGTGCACCACACCGGAGTCCCCGAGGTTCCAGGTCCTGATGATGTTTGCTGGTCCCAGCGCTTGTGGCCCAGGCCCTGGGGATTGGGCCCTGCATGCTGCCCCCTCTCTGGGTGACTCTGCTTACCCTCTGATAGTCCTCTGTCTGGATTTCTGCTAAGCTTCCATTCATACAGCACTTTGTGATGTCACTCGACTCCTCACTGGGCTCAATGTCACTGTGTACAGCAGAGGCTCATCTTTCCTCATCAGCCTGCATCGGCCGAGGTGGACACGGGCACTGAGTGGGGAGGTCCAGGGGACTAAGAGGTGGGGGCCGTGCAGAGAGCAGGGAGGGCTTCCTTTTAAGGTGACTGTCGACCATCACAGTGAAAATGGACCACTCTAGTTTTTCAAAATTTTCCAGGGAGTCAAGGCTGCTGGAGACACCTGGACGCTGGCTGGACACCAGCTGTGTCCAACTCATGTTTTCTGGTTCGATTCCCACTTCATGTCCCGCTGCCTTGTCCCTTTGTTTCATCCAATACCTCTCAGCTTTTGGTTTCTGGAACTAGGCTCCCTGACCTCGGTCCTGAGCATGGGTTTGAGTCTCTGCTCACTCTGTCTCTGATCCGGGCACCTCTGTCCCTTTAGTGCTGTTGGAATGTCCCCATCTTTCAGGGGCACCAGCTCCGACTCTACTGGGAAAGCCCTGTCAGCTCTGGACTTGGTTCTTTCTATCCCGGCAATGACAGTGACGGCCTGCTGGATCTGCCTGTGCCATGGACTGTGCTGTGTTCCCCCAGATGGACACTTGCTCTCAGTCCCTCTTCACCCACGGAACCTGGCAGAGGGCTCTGAACACACCAGAGCCAGGACATCTTTAGGAGCCAGTTGGCTCTGCATCACAGGTTGCGTATGGAACTTAAGAGATGCTGAGTGGGACCCAGGGTCAGGGGCTACTGCCATCATGCCTGCAAGCCAAGTTCTATGAAACCTGCAACCCCGGCACAGCAAGGAACACCCAGGGCGATTTTTGAACGGAGGCGGATTCTGACACAGGCTGTGTGTGTGTGTGTGTGTGTGTGTGTGTACCTGCGAATGTGTGTGTGTTTGGAACGGACACCTGCAGGTGGTCCTCCCATGTTGGGAGCTGCCCTCTCCTCACTTACCCCGAGCTCCTTCCCAATTTTTTCTGCTTCTTCCTCCTGTGGGGCTGTAAGAAGCTCTGGAGGATGTTTCTACTTGGAAGTGCAATTTGCAGTGAGTTGTGTGGAATGCTCTCTGGGGTGGAAGCTGCAGGACACCATCCTTGGATGCAGGATACCCTGATGACACCCTTGGGTGTGACAGACGCTGTGCTCCCAAGCGTCTCTCGTTCCCAGCAGCACCACCTCTCCTCCTGCTACCCACACCTGCAGAGTTCTTGTCTTTTAGGGACTGGTATAAATAAATCAGTTACTTAAGGTGATTGGTGTGGTTCTCAGGAGCTTTGCTGTGCAGTTCTCTGGGAGCCCTTCCCTCCCATCATGGATGCTGTCAGTCCTTCCTAGGGCCACCATGTGGTCCCTGCATCCTGTCCCGTCATGTGCAGTGGTCAGTCACAAACTCCCTATGCACAAGAGTTTCTGTGGCTGCAGCAGAGCTGACCTGGCCCCTTTCATCTGAGAACATTGCTGTGGTCTCAGCTAAGTGGACACTCAGGCTCTGGGTGACTCTGTTATCTGCACCCCTTCAAAGGGGCTGGGCAGGTGGAATCGCCCCCTTGTCCCTTGTGGCCATCCACATTAGTGTCTCCTAAAATGCCACTTCCCCTGGTTGGGTGGAAAGAATTTGGGGGTCACTTGGGATCTGTGTAAATTAACATTTATGTCATATTAATGAGGTGTTAATTGCTCTTGCAACCTTTTCTGTGAAAATTAATTTAGTCCTGTTTGCATAGAAGGTATCCAGCCTGATAGGCCTGGCCTCCACTGCTGTCAAAGTGATTATTGGGCTTCTGTTAATAAGGAGCCTCTTTCCTGTCTGCTCACTACTACATATGGGGTGTCTTTTGAGAGTAACAGGTGGTTTCCACATTGTTAGGGTCATTTTAAAATTACACTGTCTCCCAAGGAAGGGGCATTTGCAAGCGGTGCTGCAGTTAACAGCTGTGGAGTGTCTGTGGATGCCATTAACCCCCAGGAAGCTGTGAACTCACTAATGCCCTTGTAGGTCTTCCTCCTTGCTCAGCTTCCTGTCACCTTTCTAAGATGACGAAATGACAAGCAGTTTCAGAGCCACGTGGGGTCCAGCTAGAGCCACTTGCTTTGGCTATTCTGGGCCTCTGATTTTTTCCAAATGAATTTCATGACTGCCTTTTCCCCCCTGTTTCTATGAAGAACATCATCAGAATCTTAATAGGAATAGCATTAAATCTGTATAGTGCTTTTGGTAGCATGGCCATTTTGACAATATTGATTCTGCCTGTCCAGGAGATCTTTCCATCTTCTAATGTCCTCTTCAATTTCTTTATTTAGTGTTCTGTAGTTTTCATTGTAAAGGTCTTTTTCGTCTTTTGTTAGATTGATTCCCAAATATTTTATTTTCTTTGAGGCTATTATTAATGGGGT